TAATGCCTGGCTACCAAAATATTTTTTAAATGCTTTGTTTTAACCTTACTCGCTTTGTGCTTGTTTGGAAAAGAACATTTTTTTGGTATGGTAAAGTGTTAGTGGTTGGCAGCAGATACCCAATATTTTTCTTCTTTTTTTTTTAGTTCCATTTATGACAAAATTGACCTGAACATCTGTTTTCATTTTTAGTGATACTTTCAATTTCCTTGATGATTGAGTGCTAATTCTAAAACTTAATTGGATTTCAGGGAAAGACAATTGCCTTAGAAACAAAGAATTGAGAGGAAAAACTCTGGCCTTTGAGCTTTCCCAATAAAAGCACTGTTCATAATAGAGGCCAAAGGTTAGCTCAAAAGAATAGGAGTCAATGGTGTATGCCCAGCAATCGAAATACTACACAGCTATACACAATCCCTGCAAACACTAATGTCCAGACAGAAACTCTTAATAAAAGGAGTTAATATGACCACAGAATTAACTGATGCTAACTAAAGCCACCTAAGACACACTGTCCCATTAATATGACCACATAATTATACAGAACAGTATCTTTGATTTTGTGTGGAACTTGGAAGCAGAACAAATATTGAATCTGAGCTTGCAGGTAAATATTCTAGACTTAATTTCACATCAGAAACTCAGAAATGCCCAAACCTGGATGTGGAATTCATTTGTGAACTATTTCCTGGCTTCGTAAAGAAGATAGAAAGAATTAGTTCCACACAGAAACACACTCACAAATGTCTATGGTTTTTAAATTGCTTTGCGATATCCCCTTACATTTTGCAAAAGTATTTATCGACTGCATTCCCAATTTAGTTTCTTATTTTTACTTTATAATTTGTTGAAAAAATGCATATATTTGACAATTTTTTACTTTTTCCACAGGCATATTTCCATGAAAACTAAGTTACAATAGAGTCAAAAGAAGAAGCACAGTGTATTAATTTTCTTCTAAGCTTATCAATAAGCTTACTTAGCTCATCACTTAAGGTTGACTTGAATTCTTCTATTTCTAGAACCCAAAGTCCAGCTTGTTTTCAAAATTAGTACATCAAACTCCTACCCAGTGGACGTGCTTAATTTCCAAAGGGTATTCAGAAATTATCTGCTCACATGACAATAGCACTGCTTAAAATAAAGTGGATACTCTCTGTCTATGAAGAGAAAATCAAGCTCCTAGAAACGGAGAATTTAAAGGGAAAAAAAAGAAACATTCTGTTATGTTTCCTCATCTTTTTTTCCCTCAGCAATGAGTTTACACTATTGGCTCAAAATCTTTAGAAAGTTATCAATGCCAAAATGATTTATCCAAAAAAGTTAACCATGTATAAATACAAAATAAAAACCAATTTTTGAAAAATTCTGGTAGACAAAAATTGGTACAAATGAAATAGGATATATCAATAAATTGTAAGATAGAAGATTTTAGTATTTAGTTTCCTGAAGTCAGATGACACAATCTGCGGCACAAAATAACTCATAGTTACATGTAAATTGTAAGCTGCACAGTATCACCAAGTTGGTATGTATGCTGTAGAGCAACAACTTTGATAATCAGTACGTGTATTCTATTAGAAACCCAGAAAGTTACTGCAAGAATTGCATTGAAGTTTTTAGTAACATAGTTTAATTCCTCCAAAAAAAGGCCAGATAAAGGCAAAATTCATAGTATAACTCCTTTAAATTAAAGTTAAATCAACTCCTAGCCATAAAAGAAAAATCATAAGATAGAAAAAGCATACTAAAGTTACATCTTTTGAAATTAAATTTTTGTAAAATTGAATATAGAAAAGTGTGGAGAAACTACAGCAAAAAGATAAAAGTAGACAAGCACACAGAATGAAGTGAAACAGGGGAGGCACAGTATGTGTGGGTGGGTGTTAAAATTTGCAAATGTCTGCTATAAACAGAATAAAACAATGGATATTTAACGCTGTGTTTGACAGATTGACACCTAGAAAAAAAGGAATTATTATGAACCATATGGTTGGTTTGGTCCTAACAGTCTTTGAAACAAGGACATTTTACCTTTTCTACCTAAAAATAGCTTAGTAGTGATGTTCAAACATTTTTTAGGAGAGAAGCCATTTTTTTACCACTTCCTACCCCAAGATTCCTGTTGCTGCACCTGAAACACTCCTTTGAGGCAGAAGCCTTTGAGACAGAAGCCTTTGAGGCAACTTTGAGGATACTTCAACCTCTCTACTGGACCAGTTCAAAAATCACTGTGGTAGTAAATAACATACTTCAGAGTTAACAGATACTAATATCACTTTGAGGTGGGGACAGAACCTCGAAAAAAACCTCAAATATACCTAAGTCTGATTTCTTAATGTTGGCCAATCTCAGGGCTCAGTCCTTGCTTTCTTCTCTATGTGTTTGCCCTTGCTCCCTGAATGACCTTTATGAACCATCCCTAAGCTGATGCCTCTAACTTTATGTCCAGTAGCTTGGATCAAACTTTAGAGTCAGCCTTGACTCCCCTATTTCCTTACACTCATATTCAATATGTGGGAAGGTCTGTTAGCTCTAGCTTCCAAACACATCTAGAACTGACCACTTCTCACCACCTCCAGAGCACGTTCTCTGCTGCAGGCTGCCATCCTCTCTTGCCTGGGTGGCTGCCACATCCTCCTAACAGGTCCCGTTGCCCCTTCATAAGAATTCTCAAAACATCGGCTAGATTTGTCCTTACATGGAGTGATGTTTCACTCCTCTACTCCAAACCACCTGGTGATTCTCCGCTTAACCAGAGGAAAAGCCAAAATTCTTTCAATGGCCTTAAAGGTTATGGTGGAACCTGTGATGCGCTGCCCAGATCCCCTCCAGGATGACTTATTACCTCACTGCTGGAAGTGCTGCTGGCAGAAGGCCCCAGTCAACGTCTTCAGGGATTGCTTCAGCTAAAGAAAGTCACCTCATCCAAGATCGCAGAGCCTTCCCAGGGCAGCCAGTGATTGAATGACATGGAGTAATCAAGACGCAGATGTCTTCACCCAACCTGAGACAACTCTGAGAGGCCAATCTAAGTCCAGCACTCCATGTGGGGGTCAGCTGAGGTTGTACTTGGGCCTGCATTGCAGTTTGACCTCTACTTTCATCCTACTTCCTTACACTCCTTTCCGCAGGTCTTGATCCCAACAGCACTCTCTAATAATTGATCTGCACACCAAATTCTGCCTCAGAGTCTGCTTGCAGAGAACCCAGACCACAAGCCAGCCGCCGCCTACAGCCTCTCCAAGGCCATATCTTATCAGTCTCCCCAGCCTGCCCTGCTCCAAGCACACTGGCTTTAACGTTTCTTCTAGAGGATTGGCGTGTTCCTGCCTTAATGTCCTTGCACGGCTGTTCCTTCTGCCTAAAACACACTTTTCCAGGTTTTGCACTGCTACTTCTCTTACCAACTTCGAGCTTTGCTCAAATGTCACTTTTCAAATGAGCCCACCCTGATCATCCAGTTAAGGAAGAAAACAAGAGAAAAAGATTTAAGGAGGAACAGTTCTCATCATTTCCTAATGTATTTGCTTACCTTTCTGGGTACTGATTTCATTTGGAAGAAATGACTTCATTCATTTAAAAGAACGAAAATTACTGTTTTAAATACACAAAGACAGTGCAATGGTGAAGAACACAGGCTCTAGACTCAAACAAGCCTGGGCCTGCGTGCCCCATCACTGCGACGGCAACTGCGAGGCCTGAGGCAAGTGACTTTACCCCTCTCAGCCTCAGTTTCTTTATCTGTGAAGTAGGATCATATTACTTATACTTCTTAGAATGGGTGTGAGGATTAAATGACTATGTACGCAACAGGTCTGTGCAAACTACAAAGGGCCATATAAATATTGGGAATTACTGAGAGATGGCTCTATGAACTGCACATACCAAAATATCTACTGGGAGCATATTTGTACCCTGGCTTATTGGTCAGAGTCCTAGAAATTAATCTTTTTAGGTCTGCTCAGCCCTGCATGGACTAAGAACTTCCAGCAAAGCAGAAAAGGCTGTGCTTAGGAGAACAAGAATCACCCCAGGGGCACAGTGATAGCCTAGCAAACATTACTGGGACGCTAAAGAGTAGTTACTGACGAATATACTCTTGTTATACGATACAAAATCTTAATTTTTTGCTCTCCTTGCACTGACTTTAATTACTTCAGACTTATTCTAATCTTTAAGGCCGATGTGAGAAAATCACATAGGCTTTCAAATATCTAGATCTAAATATGTTCATCAGAAAAGCTTTAAACTTTAAAACCAGCCACTTCTCTGGTCATTTGAGATTAGAACCTAAATCTTTTTATGTATTTTCAACCCAAAGTTTTTATATTTATTTGTCTCTGTGATACAGAATAACTGTGTTTGGCTTAAAAATGAAACAATAACTCCTCCAAAACCTCAACTGTTTTTATGTTTGCTTCCATTCATTTTTCATTTGCTAGAGTGAAATGTCCTTGCCCATAACCTCAAATCCACAAGCTTGATTGATTTCAGAGGTTGCACTGGAAGCCCACCCTGCCAAGCAGAGATGATAGACCGCCTGTAAGCTGGCACTAATAAAAACCACAATAAGCTAACGTTTACCATTATATCATGGTATCTGCCCTTTCAGATTTATTTGCAGATCCTACTATGGTCCATTTCTTTCTTTCTAGTAGAGAATCACATAAGCTTATGTTAAAAACAATAAGGAATTTCATTTTAGAAATGCCATTATTGAAAACCACCATTCTCTAGTTATATATTAAAAATTACAGTAATTGCACCATTTATTAAAATGACCATAATAAAAAATGGTGCTGTGAAGGGATAAGGAAAGCAGACATTGTCCTAACTAATAACCACGTAGTATGGCTTTGCCGCCCTCCAGATCCATGTGCTATACCTGAGGGGGGAGGTGCGTGTGTGTGTGTGTGTGCACCCCTCTTGGGAAAGTCAGTGCTATATCAGATTATCCAGGATCTTCTTTAAAGTCATAATCTACTAGAAAAGAACCTTCACTTTCCAAGTCCTCCTTTGAGGACATCATGCATTCCTCTGATTTTTTTCATAGCTTTATACAACTTAATATTCAGGCTAGGAAAACTAGAAATCTCCTCCAGATCAAACAACTCCTTAAACCTGTCTACAAATCTATTTTCTTTCTCTAACCTGAATTTCATGACCCAGAGGATGACGGTAGTTTCTGTGCACAGATGGTCAAAAGTAATGAGGAGTTCCTCCAGGAAAGGATGAGCATAGACAACATCAGCCGCCAGGATATAGTCGAAATTATTGGAGGACCTGGGGAAGTTCTTGTCTAAAGCTACGCCCCAGGAGAGTTCTTTAACCTGAGGCAAATGTTTACATTTCATTTTGGTGTTTCGGGAAATATTATATTGCAGGTTTCCAAGTAATTCAGGCAAATCTGTGGCAGTCACATAAGCACCTGTGAAGCAAAGGATAGTAGATAAAGTAACCCTCATGGGATGAAGTAAACAATCAGGTTTAAGTCAACATGCATTTTGTAATTCTGCGTAACTGCTAGTCCCAAAGAAAAAACTAGTCAGTATACACAGGAGACAAATCCCCTTCAAAATGCATGCTAGGGGAGCATTACGCCTTCCCTTAAAAAAAATTTTAGGTTCCCATGGTATTTTTGCACTCCATCGCATTTTTCTGTTCTCCTGGTTTTTCTTGTTTTGTTTTGCTGTTGTTGCTGTTGTTTTCTATTTATCAACTACATGCTAGGAGAAAAATAATCAAGAGAAAAGACAACTCAAAATAGTTGGTACCCTCATTAGAAAAATCAGAAGCTATTGCTGAAAGATGAACAGGTTCTCCCTAAAAGAATTCTGATACCCAGTCCTGTGAGACCAAACAAGTATATATAACACTGGGCATTCTTTCATTAAATAGGAAGTACTCAAGTGTGAGAAGGGAAGGAAGGAAAGACTTTTCCAAGGCATTACATTGAAAGTATGACAGCCATGTTATGCCCCAGTTTTCAACTTGAGCCCATTTTAAGTGTGAGTCTTCCCATCAAAAGATGTTTAAAACCTGGCCACAGCATGCATATAGTGCTCATATAGCCAAAGATCATAGATGCAGTACGGAACGCTCAGATGAAGATATAAACCATTTCCGAGTTAAAAGTAAATAGTGATGGTCATTTTCAGAAACAAATTAGAAGGTGCAAAATTATAGAAACCAATAACCAATAAAATTTGGCCCTTAAAGTGAACTTTGAGTAGCAGCAGCAGAGCCCAAAAGTAATGTGTAAATAAATCTAGGCTTGGCCAATTCCACATCATTAGACAAAAACAGACTCGAGTTAGGAACAGGAAAGCGGAACTGGAAGAGAAGTCTAGTTTAGCTCAGACCAGTTTAGAACCCATTTCTTAGCCACGATGTCAAATTTCTCTGGCCACTGATTGTATTTTGTGGAAAATATTAAAATAGGAAGGAAATGTGCATATCATTGGTAGAATCGCAGAAATATAAATCTTCACATTCTAATGTCGGTGGGTCTATTATTTTCAACGAATCTTTTTAAAATCTCATGAGAAACAATACACCCCTACTTATAGTGAATATAAACGATCTGACTATTAATATCTTTGCACTAGAGAGGTAAACACCACCACTTTTAGAATGACTAAAGAAAGCTTTGGTCTTTTGATATTTGTGTCAAGTTATACGAGCAGAATGAAAGGATCAATTCTTTTTTTAAAAAACTTCTTTTTTCCCTCTCTTTAATTCCCCACCTCCCCACTTCCACCCCTGACCTATGGATGCTGACGTTTTCCCCTTAAGAACCGGATCTCTGAAGGCGGAGCGTCTCCCCTAACACACTCACAGCATGCACCCAGGGTTGGTGCACCCAGGGTTGGCACCCCCAGGGTATGGTCCATGGATCCACCTGGGGTGTGAACCCAGGACTTTCTGCATGTAAAGCAGATGTACTAACCACTACACTATGGAGCCATCCCCAGGATCAATTCTTTTTAATGAAACAAATGACTTGCCAAATACAAATTCTGCTCCTAGATCGAGAAGCCTTCAGGTATAAATCCAATAGCGTCTCTGATTCTATGCATACCAAATGAAATGCTAACTTTGGAAAGCAATGTCAGGATAGAAATTTGTTTTTTAAATATCTGGGGAGTACTTATTTTCCCAGTGTTTAGAAAGTCGTAAGTTGCTAAATCTTGAATTTCTCTCAAGATTTTAAAGTGGCAGGTGTGTACTTCTGAAGATCAAGGAAATCAAGACAGATTTGCGTAGCGCACATCAGAAAAGGCAGCTAAATTAAGGCTATGAAATAGATAACTACAACAACAAAAAAGATTGAACTGGAGCAGACTCAGACATGTAGAGACTACTGCACATTTAGTTGGAAAAGATGATCGGGTGAGAAAACAAGATATTGCAAAAGAAGGATAAAAATAAACAGAAAATAAATTCAAGGGCAAACATAAAATTAGCAGACATGATTTTTATGTGATTTCTAATACACTTTCTCTATTCTAACAGGTGCTTTTTCATAAAAGCATAGGACTTCAAAACCCAAAAGGAACATATGGTTACATGGAAATGCTGAAATAGGACTAAAATTTAAATAAAGAACACTAGAATCAACAGCGGTAGATTGTTTATATCTAGTATTTTGTACATCTCCTCTAGCAGCCAGGAGCTTAAGTGCACCTCCCAGTTAGAATATATTTGTGACTGAGCACTCCATGAGAAAAATTAATAAAACTTCACAGGAAATTCTCATAGAAACCAGTAAAGTGACTTTAGAATTGGTAGTTTCTTGATGAAGCCCATTTAAACAATTAAGAAGTTAAAAATAGGCCCAGATCATAGTATATTGGATAGTAAAAGCAACTAAGGATATCTGATCATTAAATTCTCCAAACCCCAAAAATATCTACTTACCAAGTAAACTTGCCACAATAGAGACTAGCCCTGTACCAGCTCCAATTTCAATCACGTTTTTGTCAACCATATTATACTGCTTTACATTTGTTTCCAGAAAATAGCATAGAACAAGGGCCTATGAAAGTTAAAAAAAGAAAAAGTAGTGCTTGGAAAGTAATAACAAAAAGTACATTTAAACTCTATTAAATATCCCACTAATGCTATGATGTGTATGTGCGTATATGTACATATTTATGTGTATACACATATATTACAACAAAAAAATTATCAACAGAAGTGCATCCTTCAATGGTTCAACATTTAGGCTAGAAAAAGTCTTTGGAGATTGTTGAGAAAAGACAATTAAAAATATGGAATTTAGTTGCTTAAGTTTGATTATCTTTAAAGAAAGCAATTTTTAATAATAATAGTCATTTCAAAGACGTGTGTGGGATTAGAGCAGACAGTGCTAGGGGTTCGCACCCTTCATGGGACTTTGGTAAAGGAGTGGTGGCCTTTTAGAGTATTCTGCATGTTGACACTGGCACAGATTTCATAATAATTGTTTAACTGAAATAGAACCAGTTAAATGGGAAATAAAATGTTTACTATTCTAAAACTTGTTGTCACAAAAAATTCAAGGTGTAAACAACATATTTTATTAACCCTGTAAGTCAGAAGTAGAATTAATTGATAGAAGCATTTTCTCAATTTCATGATTTCAAAATTTTAGTGTTTTTTGAGGTCATAAAGTAGAACCATGGAACCTATTTTCTTCCTCAACATAGTATATAATAATGAATAAAACTGACTGAAAATAATTGAAATGTAGCAAATTTTGTATGAAATATACCGAGGGCCAAACAACAGCACCATAACAGTCTGTGGCTTCAGTAATTCGAATATCATGACCAACAAAATGAAATCCCTCCCAGGAGGTGGTGGTTATTAGAGCTGGAATAAAACATCTTGCCATGATCTCTACCACCACTTTTTTGTCAGCACTGTCTTCTCTGTTTTCTGAAAGAAAAAGAAAGAGGCAAATGTTGTGGTTATATTAGTAAAACCATGAAAAAAGAAAGAACCTGAGGGAAATGCAACGTTTCTACTTATTCCGTTACTTTTGAATATTCTTTGACTTCAGATGCAATGTACTAGTAAGGTGAACTATTTGAAAATGATTCATAAGCTAACATTTCATACATCAAGACAGCAACATCTTTCTGATTTTCACTGAAGCTGAAATTACCACTGTCCATTTTTCTGAAACACTATGTGAAACAAATAACAGTGTTTTTAAAGCAATATATTTTAAGGAACCCAAATATGTTCATCTAGAACAAGAGAACGATTGGTGATGGAACATACGAATCCAATGATTTGCATTGTCTATATAGTGCAATTTCAGTTATTTCAGTAATGTGTATCCTTTATGACCTCCCTTTAGTAAGAGAAAAAAAATTTGTTATATTACCCAACAATATCCTCTTGTATCATTTTATTGTTACTTATTTTTGTTATTATTTGGGGGCAACTCATGGCATCATAACATCCACGACATTATATAAGGTTAATAAGCAACATTAACTCCCAATTTCTGAGCACCATCTTCACATGCCAGACCACGTTAAATACATTGTGTATGATATTCATGTAATTTTTCCAACAAACCTTGTGAGATATGCATTATTATTTGCACTTTTACAGAAAACAAAACTAAGTCTCAGAGGGCTCTATTAACTTGACCAAGCTCATGCAACTTGTAAATGAAAACACCAAAATTTGAGTTCCTTGTTTGGTAGTTCCAAAGCCCACTCTCTAAACTATTAAAAAGCTAAGATGCAATTTAAAAAAGAAACTACTAGTCCCAAAGAATTTACAAACTAGTTATGAAGCAAGATATACATCCCTTTCTGAGCCTGCATTTCCTTATTTGTAAAATGGGAAAGATAGAAGAACCTACATCAAATAGTGTTGGTAGATTTAAATAAGATGATGTATGTAAAGTGCTTAGCACCTTGTCTACAATTACATAGGGCTCAACAAATTATTATTATTATTAGAGTTGTTATTATATTATGGTTATTAAAATAAATGATAAAACAAGATCACCATCTAATCAAAAATACCAGATTGTGTGATATAGGATTTTACAACTGAAAGTTCTATATTTACTCACAGATGCAGAAAGTAGAGTGGTGGCCAGCGGCTGGGAGGTGGGGGAATTGGGAAGATGTTGGTCACAGGGTACGAAATTTCAGTTATGCAGAATGAATAAGTTTCAGAGATCTAATGTACAGCATAGTGACTATAATCATGACTATAATGTACAGCATAGTGACTATAAAGTATACAATGTATTGTATACTTTAAATTTACTAAGAGAGTAGATCTCAAGTGTTCCTATTTGTCGAGTACACATCAACAATGCTGGGGAGAGGGAGAAAATTCTATAGTTAAATTAAGAAAGGGAAAAATCACTGTGGTAGAGGCTGAGTGTCTTAAGTTAAACTCATCTAATATATGACTTGCATTAACAGAGAAGCTATTTATTTCTTACAACAATCCTTAAAATGAACTGATCTTTCAAGTCTTTTCTTTGTTCTTTGCCACTATCCCCACCCCAGCACTAACGAATCCAAGCTTAGTTCTCTTCCAAAGAGAAGATAGAAAATAAAAACTGAATTTTGAGTATAAAACAGAAATAGTGTTATGACATCAAGAAAAGGAAAAATAGTTTATAATTCTTTAAAAGAAGAAGAGATGAGGCAGAAAATATTTATTTTAAAAACTTAAGCCAGAAGAATCTTTGTTCCTTGGTTATTCCATTTACTCTTTCAACAAAACTGTACTGAAGGCCTGCTTTGTGCCAGGCACTGCACTAGATGATGGAAGACAGCAGTTAGCCAGACAGACATGGTCCCTGCCCTTGGGAAAACTAGAAATGCATAAATACAACTGCTTGAACCTCAGTAACACATGTGGTACCTCATGACTTCCCCATAAAGAACCGCTGGATTAGATGCAAGTGGCCCCAAAGTACTTGGCTTCAATGCCCACCTGGATAGACCTTTCTAATAAATGGTGTGTTCACAGCTTTGCTCTAATCAACATTTTTGTTACTGGTTTGACTGATGATACTGAGTGTGATCAAACATTAAAGTGATATGAATGTAATGGGAAATTATACTAAATAACTAAATGTAATGCAAAATATCTTGATGGGCTATACCAGTGCACTGGACTTAATAATATGAAATTTGATAAAGACAAATGTTAAGTCCACATTCAGGCTGCATTACTTGTGGAGGGGAAAAGATATACAAATTTAATTGGCCACAAGTTCAATATGAGTCAAAATATAACTATAATACAACTATCAAAAAAGCTAATACACCCAGGCCATATTAACAATTTAAGTTCTAAGATGAGGGAGGTAAAGGCTCTGTTCTATTTGAAATAGGTCAGGTCATACTTGTAGCCCCATATTCAGTTTGGAAAAACATATTTTAGAAAGCCACTGAGAAACTGGAGAAACTATGAGGTGAGAAATCTTGACACTGAGCCATATGAGTACAGTTTGGGGAGATCAGCATTTTCATCATAAAGAAGAAACAACTCGAGGGAACACAAAAGTTTTCACAAATTTGAAAGAGCAGCAAATAGAAGAGATCCGGGGGGGAGGGGGGGGGGAGAGGAGTCCCAGAGAGCAGAATCTAAACCCATGGGAAAAATTACAATAAAGCAGATTTTTAATATTTTTCTAAATATCACACCTTTTCGAAAATGGAATGGCCTGCCTCAGAAAGCAGTAAGAAATTAGTTTCCCAGAAGCTATCAAACAGAAACCAGAAGATCACTCTTTCAAGATATGAGGGATACATCAGATTGACATTTGATGCTAGCTGGACTAGGACCACTGTATAACTGAATTGCTATGATTCAATGAAATAACTACATGTCATCTTGTAGAAAAGTGCTATCATAGAGATACAATGTGTTAAGGAAATGTAGGAGAGAAAGTAAATAAAAGTAAACAAAAGGAAGCCAATAGTGAAGAGAGAGGGGTGGGGATATCAGACTTCAGCAGGCAGAGGAGATGTGTTTCAGATGACAGGCTAAGAAATTCATTCATTTATTCATTCAACAAATATTCACTGAGTACTTACTAAAGTTTACATATTGTCTAGTGACTGACAAAAAATTCAAGCTGGTGAAACTTAGATATATAGAGAGAGAAACATGAAAATAGACAATTACAGTGCTATATGACAATGGCTAAAATGCAGGTGAAAGGAAAATACACTGGAACACAGAAAAAAGAACCCCTTGTCAGACTGTGGAATACATAGATGATTTCCTGTCCTAAATTCTGTGATCCCTTAATAGAGTGCTGCTTAGGATCCAGACAAAACCAAGTATTCCCCAGAAGAACTCCAATTCACTACACGCCATAGGAAGGGCCCAATCTACCACCACCAGAAACATTGACTCTTGGCAGAAATACAGAGAAAACAAAGAGATGAAAAACTGAAAAACTCTTCAACAAGAGCCCCTTCTTCTAATATACTTCACTATATTTCCCCTTAAACAATGACATACATTCACATTTGGAAACAAGTAATATTAGTAAAATGTTTTATTTGAATTTTAACTTTCATTTTATTATATTCACTTGCTTTGCTAAGATTTGGGGTGGGAGGGGGTAATGTTTGTGTGGAAGTTCTTTAGGGAAAAGCTGAGAACATTAATTGCTTCTTTGACCTTTAGCTAAATATGCTTTCTTGGGCCTCCTTGCAAACTCCTTGTAAATGCAGCACTTTCTGACAAGTCACCTAAGGAATCAGGGATTAATAGATGTTAGAGTACACTAAATCCCAGGAGCATCTCCTAAAGTTCCAATCTTTGATATAAAAACTTTGCCAGTGAATATTTACTGCTACAAACTGACATCTCTGACTTTGCACTTTCTTTTAAAGGTTAGTTGACCAGATTAGTGCTGTTGTTCTAAAAACTACAATGTAATCACAAATGATTCCTGTTTTTTAACTGTTTTTCTACATAAACAGAGCTAGTCCTTTCTTTTTAGGAATGACCACATCTTTACCATTATAAGGAAATGAAATTTAAAATATATGTTAATATATTATTATAATCATATGTTAATATATTATACTAGGAAACCAAAATATACTGAATTTGGCTGCTTAAAATAATTTGTCTAGATGTAGTATGTGAGATTTTAAAAGCGAATATATACACAATTATTTCCATCTTAAAACTTTGCTGTTTTTCAGCAATAATGTCTATTTAAATATTTTGAGGTAACAATTTTAATAGTACTTATTTAAATGAAAAGACATGTTTATTAAGTTTTAGTAATATCACCACCCATTTCAAGGTTGATGACAAGAACCTCTGAACTGAAATCTAAAACAAAGAGCTGCACTATTTTAAGGGCACCCCTAAAGTAGCCTTGTTGTAATAAAAGGGAAAAATGTATCAAAGCTCCAAACATAATATACAAAAGGACATGTCTCTCAAAGTCTATGCTTAGTTATTCGTTGAATATGGGAATGAATCTTGAGAAGATTAATAAATGAGTAGATATTCTTTGGTTTTCAGTTATGATTTGAAGAGGAATTTCCCCCAAAACTTAATAGCATTATAACACAATGAAATTCTAATTTACATTTCTGAAGAATAATTTTTCCACGCATATTCTCTCCTTATTATTTAGCACTCAGACCCCAGGAAAAAAACTAGAACCAGGTTATGCAAAATGATGAATCTTGGCTTCCTTATATGAAAAGCAGAAAACTCCTGATATTTGTACCTTTCGATTAAACCTATCTACTATAATCTTAGAGTATTATTTTATTAATGAATTTAATATTGAAACAAATATTAAAACAGATTGTAAATAAAACAATCTACAGTATTACAATTATGTTGCTATCTTGAGCTTATCTATTTTAATGGTTTTTGATATAAAAAAGTCTTAACACCATTTTCCTGCT